GGAATCCACTGAAAGTTGTAAACCTTCCGAACTCAATGAAGGCCATCGCCATAGGAGATCTTTGAGGATCAAACAAAATCTTTCTTACAATGAAAATAAAAATGATGATGATGGTTTTGTGAGTCCGCCCAAAAGGTCGACGGATTGTCAATTTTCCCGTGCTACTGAAATGGAGAGGAAGAATGCAGCTGCGGATGGTGCTGTATCTGAAAATAGTAGTCAACCCGATTGTGCTACTACTGCTGCTGTGGGTGGACATAAGAAAGAGGCAAAACAAAAAGTGACTCCCCCTCTAGAAGAATGTTTGCCCAACAATAGAAGCAAAACTGGTGAATTTGAGCAAAGGGTGAAGGAAGCAGCTATGCCAGATAACGTTGACAAGAAGTCCAAGGCTGATGATGGTTCTAGACCAAATTCAAATGTCACACCCATACCAGAGGGTGTTGTGGTTCCTGATCCTGAATTCAATAAGTTCATGCTTGATGTGGATACGTTGGAGAATATGTTTAGTGCTAATCAAACGTGGGCTCTTTACGATCCACTAGATGGAATGCCAAGATTCTATGCTCGTATCAAGAAAGTATTCTCCCCTGGATTTAAGCTGAGATTCACCTGGCTGGAGCCCAGTCCAGATGACCAACGTGAGATTGCTTGGTGTGACAAGGAGTTGCCTGTTGCTTGTGGCAAGTACACACTTGGTGCCACTGAAGAAGTTACAGATCATCTTATTTTTTCTCATCAGATGCACTGCATAAAAGGCAGTGGCAGAAGCTCTTTTTTCGTATATCCTAAGAAGGGAGAAACCTGGGCCCTCTACCAGAATTGGGATATTGGGTGGAGTTCTGAGCCTGAAAAGCATGCACCCTACAAAAATGAATTTGTGGAAGTCTTGTCGGATTTTGTCGAAAATCATGGCGTTGCAGTAGCTTATCTGGGCAAAGTAAAAGGATTTGTCAGTCTATTTCAGAGAATTGAGCAGCATGGGGTTGTCTTGTTTCAAGTACCACCGAATGAGCTATATAGATTTTCTCATCGAATTCCCTCTTTCAAGATGACAGGTACTGAAAGAGAGGGTGTTCCAGAAGAATCCTTTGAGTTTGATCCTGCTGCCTTGCCCACCAGTTTTGATGATTTCATTGATTCGAAGGCAGACAACAGAACCATAAATACTGAAGCTAATGGTTCGTCCTGTGACTTAACCGAAAGTAAAGCCAAACCTTTAATGAGGTCTGGGAGAGTGTGCTCAGCTGAGAAACAGGAGAAGAACTATTCAGAAAGGGTGACTTCAACACGTAGATCTCCACAAATGTCGAATGGCAAGTTTGCAAATTCTGTTAAGCTAGAAGCAACTCAAGGTGTTACTGAAGACAATGGCATAAACCAGAGTAACCGAACTCAATCTCGGGGAAGTTCTACTCCGCAGAAGGCTGATGAGAGTATCAACACACCAAAGAAACATCAGAAAAAAGATTCCGATAGTAAGTCTTTTAGCCTTAGAAGATCACCAAGGGATTTAAGCAAGAAAAGTCCCAGACCAAATGTTACTGAGACCTGCCCAGATTCCGCCAACGATGCAAGCAATGCCAGCTTCACTCCAACTAAACTCAACTCTACTTATATTTAGACAGATGACAGGATGCATTCGAGCTTGAAGGATCATCCTTCTGTCAGTTCCGTTAAAAGCCCTGTTGCCCCTAGTGTATCCAAGCTCAGTTCTACGACTTTGATCGTCAAAAGTCCGAGGACAATTTTCAAGCTTGATCAACTCTGGGCACTGTATCGTGATAAGGATGGGATGCCGAGGACTTATGCTGAAGTTAAGAGGATTATGTTGAAGCCAAATTTTCAACTGCATGTAGCGTTGCTCGAACCGTGCCTACAGGAAGACACGACTGAATGTTGACGGATCCAAATAGTTATTCAGGGCCCCAAGGATCTACAGATCGAAGAATGGCATGATCGACATATAGCAGCCTGAGTTAAGTAGATTCTCTCACCAAGTTCCCGCTTTTCTTCATACCGGATAGATCGACATCCGGCTTGCAAGCCGTTAGGATCCTTTTGGATTAAATTTAGCATGTGGTAAATTGTCGCGTCCTTTTGTTTACCATTGATGTATCGATTAACTCCTGAGGATTTGCTGCATTTGAAAAATGGAATGAACTTCAAACTTATTTATCTTTGCTCGTCTTGCATTGTGGATCAGCTTCATGTGTCGCATCGTATGCATGTTGTCATTGGGACGCCATTGTGGCGGTATCTCGCAATTCTTGAGTCTCGAGTGCAAGAAAGGTCTAAACTAATGACATGTTACTTACATCGAATGACTATTCGTCTTGCTAAAATATGGGTTTTTTTTTTAACTTCCAATGTGATTACCAACATATACGAAATAAAACATAAAATAAAAATATTGGTAGCGGAACTCGGGAATCAAACTTGAGATTGTTGCACACAAAGCGAGAATCCAAATGCCCCGTCATGTTAATAATTTCTACTATTTTTTCAATATGTGTCCTCCAACTTAACTAAGACTTCACGTTGTTAATTTTTATTATTTGGTGTTTTAAAAAAAATTAAATTAAACAGATGTCAAAGTCCCCCACACCAACTCAGCCGCAACAACCATTCTTCTCGTTGTCGCGGTCGTCGCGGATTTGATTAGATTCTTCTACCCCGGTTCATATTTGATTGTTTGTGGTTGGTTTGGAAATTGTTGGACAAGTTTATTGTAGTGTATGTTTAAATTTGGTCGGATCAATGAGTTAGGATGGATAGACAATCCGCGTGTTTGCACACGAGTTTAATTATTTCTCGTACAAATTATACAGAGTAATCATTAAACTGCAACGCTCAAACGGTAAACCTTAGATTATATTGAAGAAGGAAAAAGAAGACATGATAAACTAAGAGTTGAGGTAGCAGTTGAGGAGGCAGATCAGTTGGAAGTATGTGCCCTTGCAAAGGATATTAATCATTATTCTTGGAGACTCTTACAGATTAAGATAATTTAAATATGATATTGTCTGCCTTTGCGGGGTGGAGCGAAAAAAGTTTTTGAAGATTCAAGAGAAGATCATGGTAAGACCAGCCATATAGTATTACAATATAAACTCTTACATTTGATCTCAATATAAACGCACATCACCATCGAATTTAACAAGGAACAACCATCTTTCTTTCCAAAAGTGGTTGTGTCTTGAAAATTTTTTCTCTACATGTTTAGACGGCGAAAAATTCCTTTACGTACAAATACGAAAACTAGGATGAATACACATGCAGTGGGCCCTGAAATTAACCACAGAAATGCCCCCACCAAGTCTTCCAAAGCAAGCTTATTGGATGGCTTAACCTGCAGCTCAATCATAGTTTTTTCTTTTTTTTTTTTTTTTGACAAAATTGAAATCATTGGTTAAACTCTACTGATCGTTTGAAATAAGTACCTGCACTTGACTTCTTGTTTTATTTTCTGACTGTCCAAAGAGAGAACAAAATAACGGATTTTAGGTGCAAATTACTCTTGGGTTGGGACTAAACTAATATCTCGGGAAAATTTGGATGAACCACGTTTATATACATGTTTTATAAACAAAGAAATTGTGAGAGAATGAACGTGTACGAATTGTAATGTGGAACTCAAATATATTGTATATTATATACATGTTAAAAGTTCAGAAAAACCTTAACATATTTATGGGTACAAATATCAAATGCACTAATGGGTACATTTAATTTACACATGTACGCATTAAAGAAATAATAATTTGAATTCAAACTAAGATACAAATGAAATCAAAATGTATACACCAAAACATATTTTCTTTTGCCTAAAATGTAGAAAGTGGCTAGTTCTCACCAATCTTATGAAATTTTGATAGGTAATGAATTAATTACATTTAATGTCATGTTTTAAATGCAAATATGTTCATGTATACAAAGTCAAGGGACTTCAATCAAAGGATCCTAATTTTTCAAAAAAATTACCTAAATTGTATGGGGTGTGATATTTACACACCCCATTATACTTTTCACACACCCTTCTAATTTTTAGCCGTCGGATCGGATGAATTGAAGAAAATCAATGGATATAAATTAACAATAGGGTGTGTAAGAAGTAAAATGAAGTATGTGGATAGCACACCTCAATTGTATTAGAGAATGTGTCAGCAAATGTATCAGTTTTGTGTTTATCCAAATAACATAACTTGGTTAATAATAATAATAATAATAATAATAATAATATTGTAATGTCACTGCGGTGCTTTGACAGTGTCAAATGCAATTACGGTGTTTTGTGTGGTAAGTGGTCGACGTGCAGAGTGGCTGCATGGCGATGATATGCTTGCCTTTGGGTATTATTTATGTTGTGTATGGATAGATCTTAAGGATCAAGATTACGAAGTTGCAAAGTGCACATTCCATGTTCAGTTCACTTCAGCCTCAATTTATATAGTAATACTGAAGTGGATTTGACATTGTTATTTAATAAAAAAGAAAATACATATGCTAGTGGAAATATTCCACCAAGAAACGAAATTCAATAATGTTACAAGCGTGCATGGACAAAAAAACTAATGCCATTTCTGAACAATGTCAATTGCAGTAGACATTCAACCTGTCGCTTTTGGCGTCCTTCATTTAATCTTTTTTCTTTTTATCAAATGACGTTAAACCACACAGCGTGATGGTAGTGTTGCAGTTGGATTTATTGGTCTAGAAACTCTGTGGAGAGAGAAGTCCTCCGACGTTCAACTGGCATGTCGGAGACTTTGTGAGGCTGAGGGCCAGTGTGTTCTCTCCCAGATTTGAGTGGCCTTGTAAGAATGGAGGAGAATGGGCGTCTGGAAGGATCCAACAAGTCCTTTCGAAGGGCTGTCTGGTTGTGAGGTTTCCCGGAAGGTTTGTACTTGGAGACGAATCTAGTAGCTCCTTGCAGATCCAGCTCAAGTAGAACTAGTACAGTGAGGCCTCTTGTAAATGCGTTTGCCCTATTTACAGCCATGAAGGTCAGCTTATTTGTTGGCCGAAATGTAGGTGCAAAGCTGAAGGACCGAAGATCAACACGGAAGGATGGGAATAGCCAAGATGGTCCGAGTGGTGGCAGTGCATCCGCCATTTGTAGCTACTCCAAGATTTTCCCCATCATTCCCAGTCTTGTTTGCTTCCTTCTTCTTGCTTCCTCGGTGTATCCGGCAGCCGCCAATCAGGCGCTGAAGCAGGAGCAAGAATCGAACAAGTTGAAGATTATAGCAGCTGGTCTTAACAATATCAACAAGCCTGCTCTCAAGACATTTCAGGCATTGGCTTTAACTTTAAATCTGTTTTCCTCTGTTTTGTACTGTATTTTTTTAATTTAATTTGCCGAATTTTGTTTGTTGATCTGCAGAGTCGGGATGGCGATCTTATAGACTGTGTTCTCTCTCATCATCAACCTGCTTTTGATCATCCCCAGTTAAAAGGACAGAAGCCATTGGTACTTAGTTCTTCCTTAAGCAAATTTTTCATTTTCTAAAGGTTCTTCGAAAGTTGTTTAAAGTTTAACGTTTTTAGCTTTCATTTACTTTATCAAACTATGTCTATTAGTTTTTCGTTTGCCGGCAGATAGATTGATATTGCATTTTCATGAGCGTGGGATCTTCAAGGTAAAAAGTGGGACATATTTTGAGAGAGTGTGAGTTTGCACAGGCTGTTTAGATTGCATCTGTGTTTGGCTTTCGTTCAATGTCCTTCCATGGGGATTCAATGAAGGATTGGCTACTCTTTCTTTTGGACCAAAACGGATTTGATTTTGATTGTTGTGCTGTATGGTGCTATGGGCTTTATGTCAGGAACGGAATTCACTGGTGTGGCAAGGCAAGAGAGGGCAGCCTTTGGAGGTGGTGCAGCGAGTAGTTTGTTGGCATCAGGAATTTCGACAGGCCAACACCAAACCGAGTTTGTCTAGACAGCCAATGCCGGCAAGATGACAAGTACCTAACCTAGGGAAGCTTGGTTTAAGAATATTGTTGACAGAGCCACTCGGTTTGCAAAAACTTAGGTGGAGTGGGGGTCGTAATTCGTGATTGGCATGGGCACTTTGTGGCTGCCGGTGCTTGGAGGAAGGAGGGCGTTTCGTTTGTACCACACATCGAATTGCTGGCAGTTTGTGAAGGACTTCGGTTAAGATAGCGTATAAATGTACAACAGATTGTGGTCGAGAGTGGTTCTACTCATGCTCTTGCTGCGTTTAATGTTTTTAACTTTGATTTATTTGTCAAATTTGGCACAAAAAATGAAAAATGAAAAATAAACCCTAAACTTTGTAGGATCAACCAGAGAGACCGAAAGGCCGAAACCCTCCACGAGTGGCGGCTGAAACTTACCAGCTGTGGAGCATGTCGGGAAATGTCTGCCCGGAAGGAACAGTTGCAATAAGAAGAACAAGAGAGGAGGATATGATGAGAGCCAGCTGTGTTGAAAGATACGGAAGAAAACTAACGGGGCAAGTCAGAAGAGAGACATCCAACAATGGCCACGAGGTTACTGTTTATTTTTAATAAACAAAACATGACAAATCAAACTAGTAAAACTTAAATAGTTGAATTAAATAACTATATATATACACACACGCGCTGATTGTGGTTTATGTTTTGGGATGGATTGTCTGCCCTCCTATTTCCATACTCTTTTTATGTCCTTTTGTTTGTGTGATCACGGTTAAGTTACGTCAATATTTTATATTCTTATTACTTTTTGTTTTATTATTTTAATTATGATCACACAAACAGAAGGGCATGAGAAAAGTATAGAAATGAGAGGGCAGACAATCCACCTCCTATGTTTTGTGATAATTGGGTTTGCAGTATGCAGTTGGGTATGTGAGTCGGGATCAATACTATGGAGTCGAAGCTAGCATCAACGTATGGGCCCCCGAAGTTGTTATTCAGCATGAACACAGCTTGTCTCAAATGTGGCTCATCTCTGGTTCATTTGATGATGATCTCAACACCATTGAAGCTGGTTGGCAGGCATGTTTATCTTTCATCACTAAACTAATTAACCTTAAAATCTCTCTTTCTCTCTCCCTCTCTCTGTGTTTAATTATTGAACTAAAAGCAGGGCTAAGATTCTCGAAACATGCACAGATAGAACTGAAGGCAGTAAACACAGACCTCTCTTCTTCTTGTGGATTAAATTCATTTAATTTTGTTTGTGCAGGTCAGTCCAGGGCTATATGGGGACAACCAGTCTAGATTATTTACTTATTGGACTGTAAGTATACAAAATCACCTTGCCTTCAACAACAAGCATAAAATATTATAATAATAGTGATTATATTATTTATTTTGCAGACCGATGCATATCAGACAACGGGATGCTACAATTTACTGTGTCCGGGCTTTGTTCATACCAATAGAAGATTTGCCCTTGGAGCTGCAATTTCTCCAACTTCTTCCTACAACGGTGACCAATTTGATCTTAGCTTATTAATTTGGAAGGTAACCTAGCTTTTCTTTTCATACCAGCTTTTTATTTTAAACTAGCATGTGTAACTTGCTTAATTAAAAGCTTTTATTAACCATAATTACTTGTGCACATTGTAGGATCCAAGGCATGGAAATTGGTGGCTGGAATTTGGGGACGGAGTACTACTTGGATACTGGCCATCATTCTTGTTCACTCACCTTCAAGACTACGCAAGCATGGTACAATTTGGTGGAGAAGTTGTGAACTCGAGGCTTTCAGGCTCCCACACAGCCACACAGATGGGCAGTGGGTACTTTGCAGGTGAAGGGTTTGGAAGAGCTTCGTATTTTCGAGACCTGCTGGTTGTGAATTGGGATAATAACCTAATCCCATTATCCAATCTTACATTGTTGGCGGATCATCCAAATTGTTATGACATTCAAGGAGGGAATAACAACTCTTGGGGGTATTACTTTTACTATGGAGGTCCTGGAAGAAATGAGAGGTGTCCCTAAGAGAAGGGAAACGTATAGAGCTAGCTAGGGTTTTATTTTACATAATATTCAATTTTACAATTTTCTTTTTTCTTGGGTGATTTTTAGGGTTAATCCATCCGCAATTCAGTTTGGGGTATTCTTGTATTTGTCTTCCTTTGTTGAGGACTAGTGTGAATTTCGGGCAACAAAAAAAAGTGAATATACTATGGCTTGTCATTTTTCATTTTCTTGTGCTGTGTTTTCACCTTTGTTGTACATGCAAAATTGTATTGTGCGAGAAGCTGTAATTTTGTGTTTTTGTTTTTTGTTGACATATTTAAAAGGATATTAATCATTATTCTTGGAGACTTTTACAGATTAAGATAATTTAAATCATGACATTGTCTGCCCCTGTAGGGTGGAGCGAAAGAAGTTTTGAGGATTCAAGAGAAGATCACGGCAAGACCAGCCATATATTATTACAATATAAAAAAGAAAAGGAAATAACTAGATGGTAAGGTTGATGTGGGCGTAGGATATTATTGCCTTATTGGTCTGGAATACTGCAACAACATCGTAGCTTCTCGCTTTGGAAAATGCACTTCCCATTAATGTATTGTTTGGCTTTGCACGATGCAAAACACTGGGCATCCTTAAACGAGTTGCTGCAGAGTTCGTAGCAGAAAGGGTGAAGGGGGGGGCACCTGGAGAATATGCGGCACCTTCGCTTCATGAACCACAAATCCTGCAATATTCAAACGAAAACACACAAATTTCAATCTCTTAATTAGCTACTTCACTTTCTCGTTTTCATAAACGAAAAAATCATTCAACCCTGTCACACTGTTACATAATGTTAAAAACGAGGCGAAATCATAGTAGGATAAAGTTGAGGAATGTATGTTGGATTTGTAGCATCGATTATAAAAAAATAAAAATAATAATCAGAGAGAGACAGAAAGAGAGAAGAAGAGTACTCAAGGTCACTAAAGCGGCAGAAATGGCCGTGGCAGCAAGGAAGAACAAAAGGAACTTTTGGGAATTCATCTTCGACCGGATTCTTCTTTTAATTTCTGAAAAACAGAAAGATTATTGGATGCGTGGTTGCAGTGAAGAACAGTGTCATATATATATATATATATATATATATAGCTCACAAGAAGAACAATTATAATGCTATAAATTTAGTCTAAACTACATAGAAAGAGCTTCAAACTTGAGTGTATGGTGGGAAGCACATTCTCTATCCCACTTGACTGTGTTAACAAAACCATGCAAGCATTATGCAAGACAATAATTACCTAATTTCCCCTTCCAATGAATTGAGTATTAAGTTATTTTCGACTGCAAGGGAGGTGGTGGCGATAAACCTAATTACCCAAAAATAATATTGAAATGATGTTTTCTTTTATATATAGTCTTTATTATTTTGTACCTCCAAATGATTTTAGATTTCATGCTTGAGATAATTAATTTTTATGTATAAAAAATTAATAATATTAATTATTTAGTTAAGTGAGTGAATACATGTCCAGTAATTAAAGAGTACGTAAAAGAAAAGGGGATCATCTCTAGATCTTTTTCACCAAATTTATCAACCGTTAAAGTTATTATAACTTTTAAAAAAGTCTTTATTTTTAACCGTTTGATCAAATTTCAAGGAACTGGATTGATGGATTTAATGAAAGTGATACGGAGACGAGCCTTTTCACGTTAAAGAGATTAATGGGAAGGCAGACCGCGGCCCACAAAATCATGAAACCAGTAGAAGTCAAGTGTGCGGCGCCAGTTTCTGAGCTTCTGAGTAGTTCATCACCTCTGCCTTCTTTTCTTCCGTTTCTTCGCATCTTTCCACCGCCGCAAACTTATTCTCCTGTTGAAAATCTCCCAGTACGACGCCGTTCCTTTCCGCACGCCGAAGGGGGCTCCTCCCTCCTATCTCCAGGTCTCTCTCCTTCTCATGTTTTTCTTTGAAATTGGGTATTTGCCCATGTGGATTGCAGTCTCTGTAAACTTGAAGAATCTCATAGAAAATAATACTGATATTAATTGTTTCACAATGTCAAGTAATGGGTTTTGTTAAAATTAAAAACTTGAATTTCTAGTGCTCCATTAGCTTCACACAAAAGGGAACAAGTTTGGAAGCAAAATTTCTTCCTTTTCTCTTTGTATTGCCTCTCACCTGTTCGATGAAATGTTTCAAAGAAGTGACTGTATTTCTCTGCGTTGGTAAATTTATATTTCTCAAGGGTGTTCAAAGTGTATTTCTTTATGGTTATGCGTTTTTTCTTGGTTTTCAGCTGATTAGACACAAGTAGGACGACTCTCGTCAAGGTGCCTTGTGTGAGTGAAAAGGGAACAAGTGTTGAAGCAAGCCTTTGGGAAGGCGTGGAGCAAAGGGGTTTATGCGTATGGGGGAAACAGAGCCATGCCTTGCTTGTATGTGCCTACGAGTGATGTTCACAATGGACAGGTACATTCGAAATCCCAATTTCCGACTTCTCAAACCCTCCTCTTCCAACCCCCGCCCCCCCACCCACCCCCCTCCCCCCCCCCCCCCCCCCCCCCCCCCAATTTGGCTTATATTCTCAAATTATTTGTCACAAAGCCTTCCATTAGTTTCAAACCAATGATTTTCTCCGGAAAAAATCTATGAAAGTTGATAAAGATTTATGCTTGAACGAGGTTTGAACTTTTTTTGTGCTTGGATGATGCCATGAAGATCCGCTAGCCATCAAATTTCTTTCCTGAAGAAATTTTCCGGTGATATCAACTGCCATTTGACTGTGGAATTTACAGATTCATTGCGCACCGAGAAGTTTTTTTTGGGGTAGAGGATTTCCTCGATGATGACAATAGCCGCCCATACACTTACCAGAAGGAGAAGAAGTCCAAAAATCCAACAAAACATATATCATTTAAACAGCGCACTGTAGCCTACATTGAACCGTTCGATGTGTTCATCTCAAAGCGGTTTGTGTCAGCCTTGATCACCCACAGGGTCACAGCCAAGCAGGTTGCAACTGCGGGTACCAACTCCAAAGACATTAAAGCTGTACTCAAGTCGCGTTGCGACATACCTGCCTGTTTGGCGGTCGGCCAAATTTTAGCCGATAGGGCAAGAGAAGCCGATGTTTATACTGCTGCTTATACTCACCGGGACAGGGACAAGGTTGAAGGGAAGAATAGAGCAGTTGTTCAATCCCTCATTGATAATGGGTTGATGTTAAAGTTTATCTTGACTGAATTAGGTTTTATTTTTTTCTTTGAATTTGATTTTCTTTGGAAAATTTAGGAGGCTTGTATGTAAACTCTTGTCACTATAACATCTTTGCCAATTTCTGAAAATTAGCTTTCTTCTGCTCTCTAATTATATGATGAATTGGCAATTGTTTATCTATCAACTACCCTCCTTTAGAGAATCACTTACAAGAAACTGGACCAGCAAGGTTGCAGAGTCTTAACTAATCATACGATGTCATATAGAGAAGTTAAAACATGTGGGAAGTGTAAGAGGTCTGAAACAACACCTCGGTATAAGTCCTTTCCCCCCTTTAGGAGAGCAACTTATATCGAATGAGGTCACCACTATAATTGCATTATGGTTCACGTGGCAATGCCTGTTCTGTGTAAGTCATTTTCTTTCAAGTGGCCAAAATGTCTAAGTTTGATCAGTGACATGGCGTAGGCCATATCAGCAAAGTCGCTAGGAGCCTAGGCTGATCTTGGTCAGTCCCATAAAGCAAGAACGGTCAAAACAAATTTCTTATACGTACACGATTGACACTAACATTTCCATAAATGAAATTTAGGGAAAACGAAAATAAAACTTATGTCATTACAACAACCTACTGAATGTCTGCCACGTAGGCTAGAAAAAAACAAGTAGTATGACAGCCAATTTAAATGTTTGCCACATGGATTGGAAAACAAAAACAACAGGATACGAGTTGGATAGAATAAAAACCATCAAAAATTTAGAAAAGAAATCATTTTAAGGAAATGTAGATAAATTTTAAGGTATATAGAATGAAATGTGGCTTTGTTTTATTTTGCAAAAAACACGGAAAACATTCAAATTTTCATAGTCAACTCCAAAATGTAAAAATAGGAAGAACAAAAAGGAAAAATCAAAATGGGATTTAATTAGGTTTCTAAATTTCGGTGTCACTCTGATGTTGTGTTAAGGATATATCAAAATTATAACACTTATTAATGAGGATACACCTACTTTTTAGTAATAAATCGATGTGTCACGTGCATTATCATCAAACAAAACTGATATCGTTACAAATATGGATTAATACGTGTACAAGGAAACTAGGTTATAAAAGCGTCTTTTGCATGCCATTATAAACAACCTTCGATTGTTACATGAGTAACATATAGGCCAAATCTTTTTTATTTTCTTCCCTTTACCTAGATTTTTTTTTTTAGTATATCGATATTTTTACGTTAAGAGGATGAGAAGTTCAGTAAAGTCATATAATGGATAGCCTAATTGGGTATCGAATTCGTCATCTACGAGATTCGAACATAATATCTTTTACTTTCAAATGAAGAGGAATACCACCACATCGTTGAAAAAGAAGTGCAAAAGGAGAAAAAAAGGTTTATAAAAGGAGGGCAGTTTGGTCATTAAAAAATTTAGACTGGAAAGAGAGTAAAACCGTCCTTTAATTGTTCCTTTCCAGATATTCTCTTCCTCCTCTGAAACGCTCGTTAGATTCTCCCTCTCAGTCTCTGGTTCCTTTTGAAGGTACTCTCTCTTTCTCTCATCTCTCTCTATCTGTTTCTCTGTCTAAAACCACAACAGCTTCTCACTGATTAAAAATTTTCTTTTGGTTTTGGGTTTCCAGATTCTCTGGCTTCTGTTTGGTCGGTGGGAGAGGTAAGGAAACGAAAATTTTTCTTTTGGTATGAATGCTTGTGTTTGCAAGCATGGACTGTGAAAATTTTCTTCTGAATTTGATCCTGGTAGTTTTGTGGCTTACAGTTTGATCCTGGTTTTATAATGCTGCTGAATTAAAATTGTATGAGATCTGAGTCTTAGATATTAAGTTGATTTTGTATTTTATGCTTCCATTTCTTATCTGGGCAGACAATTAGATAAATAGAGGGGGTGTTGAATTGTTTGTTCAGAAGTAAAGCTTGATTGTTTGCAATTTTGCACGAGTCGGGTCGATTTTAAATTTGATTCAATTGGTTGGTGGATTGCTTTTTTGCAATATACTTGCATGATCAAAACTGGGTTTTGATCAAATGATTGGTTTTACTTGAGATAACAGTAAAGATTCTCTCTTTTTTGTTGTTAAAAATATGCATCCGGGCTTCAGTCTTTTGGGGCATGTCATTCATTCATCAGAATCATCACCACACTTGTGGGTCTGATCGAATGAAAGTCTTGGCATTGCCATGGAAGCATGAGGTTTTGTGGTAGTAAAGGCTTTAGATGTGATTCTAATCTTTATTTTGTGCTTAGAGTGGTTATGGTGGGAGTAACTATATTACCGGTAATAACAAACAAATGGCGCGCTCACTTTTGTTTTGGATTTTCTCTTCGAATTAGGACACGTAGTATAATGGAATCGAGTCCCTCAGATTTTCAACGGTTATTTCCGTTACCTTAAGGAAATAATGTAAATCTCAGTAACAACGGTACTAGGAGAGAACAGGAAAAGAAAGTGTGCATATGAAATTTGTTGGTCTTGATGCTGCCAGATGTACCAAAAGTGCATGTGTGGCATTCGCATGATAATGCCAAGCCGCCCTGTATGGAAAAAACTTAAATAGTCAAATCGGTGTCATGATTTTTATTAATCATTCAATTTGGTTTAATTGAGTAGATCTGCTAACGGAGCAGATTCCTTAGCTCACGATATTTTTCGCATGTACAAAATTTGCATATGTTGCACGTTTCTGTTCAGCCAACAAGTATGGTAAAACGGTCAGGGACTTAGTAGTCAAGCCTTTGTCATGATTTTTACTAGAAATTTATTGATGTGATCAATTGTGACAGAATTTTCATTAGATTGAGGTAGTGAACCTACTAAATTTTCATCTGTTGTTAGTCTGGAGTCTTCTATTTTATTACACCTGTCACAATTTAGGTTAAATAGCTTTGATATAATTGCAGAAGAGCAGCTTCTGGAGTTAGTCTTACTGTTACTTTTGTTCCCACTTCCTGTGTGATCGAATGTAATGTGATTATGTTTGCACATACATATAGTATAGTGGAGAAAGAGATCTGTGTTCCTCATGTTTCTAGTGAAATTCCGACGACATTGTAGTTTTCACACTGGTTGTTTCCTTTGTTGAATAAAATGGGGAATGTGACATCCGCCTAAAGGTGTGGAAGTTATTGTTCTCTCCATATGCACAACATCATACACACACATACTGATCGTGCATGGATATACCTAATGGCCACTGTAATGTATAATTATATACATATATAGGGGTACGCACACACGTGAACGCAGAGGTATCTGTTAGTTTGATAACTTCAATGTTGTTTTTTGTTTTGTTTACTTCGTTGTGTATACAGAGGAAGGGATTTTATCTCTATAGGCAGAGATTATGTGCACAGACTACCTGTCTTTCTTTAAACATAAAGGACCATCTGTCTTTACTCCTTCTAACATTCATGCTTCTAGGGTTGGTGTTTTTCAGTATTAAAACTGATTGATATGACAATGGCTTGACATTAGAAACCCATTCTGTGTTATGCACTGAATTATTCAAGAGGACTTTGAATTTGAGCAATTCTCTTGGAATGACAATGATATTGTTCCACTTAGCTAAAATGTCTCAATGGATTTACTGTATTGCCTCTAAAAATATAATTTCAATGCTGCTTAAGTTTTTACATATAGCCAGAACAGGGCGAAGTATTGAAGGTTCTTTTACACTCATTCCATTTATTTTTCTTTCTGTTGCTTTTACATTCATTTCCTTTCCTTTTCACTCTGTTTTTCTTTCCTTTTCTTTCTCACATTCGATTGACTCGTCTCCTGGACAGGATATCTGGTTCCTGTGTTCTTCTGTTTTTGATAGAAAACAAAAGAAATCACTTCCTGACCATATCATTTGCAGGATTCATTGGGCTTTCTGAACCCGATTGTTTGGTATATGTATATACTATGGAACTAGATGATAACTATATGGAAACAGATAACAGGAGGGAAATAGAGAGTCCTGCAGAAGTGTTTAATAATCCAGAGTCATCTGAGCAAATCATCTCTCCTGCAGAAACAACCAGTCCACTGGAGTCATCTGAACTGAAGGTCCACTCTTCTGCTGAAGTGATCAGTGTTCCTGCTGAAGTGTTGAATAATCCAGAGCCATCAGAACAAATCCCCTCACCTGCAGAAACCTCCAACACCCCAGAGTCATCTGAACTAAAGTTCCCTTCTTCTGCTGAAGTGATTGGTGGACCTGCTGAAGTGTTGAATAATCCAGAGTCATCTGAACAAATCCCCTCTCCTGTAGAAACATCCAGCACACCAGAGTCATCTGAACTGAAGGCCCCCTCTTCTTCTGAAGCGTTCAGTGGACCTGCGTCAGCTGAAAAGAAGATGGCTTCTCCTGGGGAAGGATCTAAGAAACCTGATTTATCTGAAAAGAAAACTGCCTCTTCTGCGGGAGCATCCAGTTCTGGAAAGAGGATCCCAAGATCATTGAAGGGAAAAGCTAAAATCGTGAAGAAAACTCCTATTCAAAACAGTTTGAAAACTAGCAAAGGTACAGATACTTCACAGGTTAATGGGAGGAAAAGGAAAAGGAATAGGGGTAACAACGAGAGTAGAAAAACAAGAGAACAAGATGGCAAAAAGCTGAGTTCAACAAAAGAGAACCAACAGAATATCTCGAACGAAGAGGCTACAGAGAAGAGCCATCCGGTTCAAAAGAATCCAGGAAAATTTGACGAATCCGAAAAGAGCCAACAAAAACAGAGGAGTACAGAAAAACGACGCGAGTCAGACAAGAGTGCCAAGAGTGAAAAGAACAGTGAAAAACGTGATGATAAGAGAGAAAAGCTTGGCGGTTTGATTTTCATGTGCAGTGGAAAGACAAAGCCGGACTGTTTCCAATACCGTATCATGGGTGTTACAATGGGTAAAAAAGAAGTTGTTTTAGGTATCAAACCTGGGTTGAAGCTTTTTCTCTATGATTTCGATCGTAAGGTTTTGTACGGGGTTTACAAAGCATCCTCTTCTGGAGGCTTAAAACTTGAGCCAAAAGCTTTTGGTGGGGCCTTCCCTGCTCAGGTCACATTCTCTTAGATCCACCTCCCTGTTTGCGTTTTTATAGTTAACAAGATTTGTGTGCTGATGACTTGCAAGTTTCAGGTGCGGTTCAACGTGGAGAAAGATTGTCTCCCTCTGCCTGAAAGTGTTTTCAAGAAGGCAATAAAGGAAAACTATGATAAGAAAAACAAGTTCAAAACTGAACTTACAGTCCGACAAGTGAGATAACCCACTCTCCTTTTATTAATTGCTTTTTTTCTCTTTCCTGGACTGAGGTGCCATCGTTTTGTTACATTTTTGCGGGATTGTATCCAATATTTTTATTTCAGGTCAGGAGGCTCACAGCACTTTTCCGACCAGCTCAAGTGCATTCATCGGTTCTAGCCCCCCGTTCCCCGCCGGAAGCAAAAGCTCGGGATCGGGGAGTTCATGAAAGGGTGAGAGAATCACGGCCGCTTTCAAAAAGGGATGCACATACTAGAGATCCTTATGCCCATACTGATGCTAGGAGTTATCCGGTGTTTGCCCATGAAGGGGACCAGCATGTTGCATACCGAGAAGTCGTACCTGCAAGGAGAGAGGAAACTTCTCATGATTTGTACCTAACTGAAAAGGAATATCGAGCTTATGGTCTTCGGGGAGACAGGAGGAATGTGACTTCTCATTCAATTACTTATGCTGGGGAATCTTGCCGTAGGGAGCATGAAGGAGAGCATCTTCTACGACAGACAAACTTCATTTACAGAGATGATGTCCCTGCACATCGAGAGAATGTTCATTCTGATCGTCCTTACTTGAATGACACTCGTACTCTTGGCACCAGACATGAGTTGCCACCTGCAACATCTGCTGCTGCCGTGGATGCATATGCAAGGCATCCATATTATCGCTCCTATTATGATTCTTCATTGTCGGACCCATACCTGGCACCCAATAGGAGAGAGGATGTTATGTCAGGACCTTATTCTGTTGGTGGAAGGAGAGAGAACTACCTAATTGAGGCTGATCCTGTGCAAAGGAGAGAAACCAGCAACAGACGAAGAGACAGTTACCGGATTGAGACTGATCCTGTGTATAGGAGAGAACCCGTTCATCGTGTAGAGAGATTATCATTGTACTCGAGACAAGATGCTGCTGCTGTTGATGCTCCATTAGGTTATAACCGTACAGAAGCCTACCAGGCGACCAATCCGGATACTGTGCATGCACCAGTTTCATCTCGTTATGCTTTTGCAGGTCCGTCATACACCTACCGCTAAATGAAGTTCTTGCATCCCTTCCGTCTATGCAGGCCGGTTCTTTTCTTCGAACTTTTTTCTTAACCAAAAAAACAAGAAGAAAAATAAAACTTTGTATCAAATATTTAAAGTTTCGAATTGAAATTAGGGACAAGGTCTTGAACTCGTTAACTGTTTCTGTTAAATGGTACTGCTGAAGGTTGACAGCATTGTCTTTGACAGAAGACAGTATGTTAGCTTTTGCCTTGGCAAGTTTAGGTTATGTAGTGTAGCTTTCTCTGTTTGATAAAAGGGAATGATTTCCGTGCACTCTTTTTTCAATTTTGCAGACGATTACAGAGAGAAAGTGAGTTTACGGAAATCACTTCTCTATGATAGATGCTGTGTCTACCTGTTGTAGGGTGAGTAATGCGCTCGTATGAGGAAGTGGGCTTTTTGGATACAAAAGTTTTAATGGTGGACTTGATATCTCAAGAAAAGTCCATGAGTGGTATAGTTCCTCCCTTAGGCCAATAATTGTCGCATACAAATAATGCTCTCGATTTTGGTAAATGTTGTTACATTGACAAAGATTTATTTATTTTTAATGTATAATTCAATTATTTAGTAATTATTGAAAGGACGAAATTAATTTAGAAGGCGGCCATGATTGTGCTATCTGTCCATGTCTAAAAAAAATATTTTTAAGATTTTTATGAATGAATTATGGTACATCTTAAAAATTTAATAATTACGTGTAACCGTAGGATTTTTGTAATTTTTTATTTGAATTTTTTGTAAATTTAAAAAATTATTCTTACGAAAATATCAAGAACGGCTGGATTAGAAAGAAAATTTGAAAGTAATCTCTTATGTTTGGCCACGTGTCAAGTACATTGGAAGTAACCATTATGGCGGGCCTCACACTCCCCTAGCTAGGTGCGTGTGATGTCAACGCTACATATTAAGATTTGGACTCATGAGCAACTGGTGCCATGATTGGTGAGCCTTGATGACCCAAAAACGTGTAGATGTGTGTTTTGGGTTGAATTTGAGACCTAATCATGTCAATTTAACATGGATGAAGATGTTCTACAATTCCCTTCCTACAATTCGCCGTGTGAATGAACATGACGAACAAGGACGACATAGGAAGCATGCTTACAAGACACGAGACCAACTATCATAACACTGAGTAATATTAATTGTAGTATTTCATACGTATGATACTACAACTGTCATGTGAAGAAAGGTTTACGCGTATAATTTATGCTTACGCGTAAAATTTATATAATTGACAATAAACGTTCCTTTTCCACGAGGTTGTCGTTTGATGACTTCTCCGCGTGTAACGTGCATAGGAGTCGTGCATGCAAATGCAATCACAAGTTCTTTCAGCATGAAAAATACTAATCAATTCCGATGTTTGTTGGAATGTCAACTTCAAAACTTACTCTCAATGTTTCCGGTCTTTCCAGCACGTTCCTGCATCATAATCGGTCTTTCCAACACATTCCTGCATCATAATCCTCTCTCTCTCTCTCTCTCTCTCTCCCTCTCTCTCTCTCTCTCTCTCTCTGTATCCATAGGAATTCCCCAAATTTTATCCATATAGAGAACCTTATTCAAAAGTCCTCATTTAGAACATAGTGGTTGTCAATTTTTTTTAACTTAATTAGATGCCTCAAATGCTATTTGGTATTACAATCTGGTGTTATTTCTTTTTACTAGTAAGTGAGAGGTATTACATTCGATTATCTCGAAACACGAATTTGAATCAAAGCGTTGCTAGTTCATTATGAGGCTTAAAAATAAAAAGAATAGATACTTCAAATATTTCTGATTTGACTAATATTTTGCAATGATGATTTATAAAGTGCAAATTAAAAAATAAATAGTTCAGATTATTAAAATTCGATAATGGATAGGCTCAATAAATAGTCCTCATTTTTTACCAAAATAATAGAAATCTTTTTTTTTTTTTTTAAACGATATTATCTACACTAAAAGGGGAGATGACAGGCTTAGCCTCATACAGAGCTAGCAATAATATGATTCGAATTCATCTTTGACGAGAATTAAACCTAAGATCTGAATTCATATTTGGCGAGAATCGAACTTAAAAGCTCTTACTTACGAGTCAAGTAAAAAAAAAAAAATTACTAAATCGTAGTACTAAGAAATCATTTTGAATAAAAGGTTTGTACATTTATATGTATAATGGAAATGAAACTCTCTTAAAAGTGGAATACTCCACTCGGTCTCATGTTCATGGTTTAATTCATGTATCAATATTATAAAATATTATGTCAAAAATATAAAATAACAAAAATTCATGAAAAATCCTATTTTAAGAGAATCTGCTCCAGGCATTTTCGATGCAAATTTACTTGGGTTATTGGAACTTGGTCGGTATCGTAACTATCAAAAAGTGGAATTGGTCTCCGCCTAGTCAGTCAATCGTCAACCCACAACCTTTTCCAGGGACTTTTCCAGATGCATCATGTATGTAAAGAATATTCATTATTTCATATTATACATACATTTTCCAAGCAAGTAACTATAAATATTTAAAATAATAATGTAGCTAATTAAGCTAATGTAGTATATTACAAAGAAAAGGATCCTCTATGGATTCACTTTATAAGGATCCTAATGATTCTTATATTCTAGCCGTTCATCGTATATCATGCGGTCAATTTTCTTCAAGTACTATTTGTGTTTAATTTTAAATAAAAAAAGATTAAATAATTTCTAACTGTACGATGCACGATAAATCGCTAAAATGTGATGATTTCTAGATCCCTACAATTTGGATCCGAATGGGATCCAAATCCTATCTATACATGAAGGGATATTTTGTGTGATCTATATTTCACATTGTATTTAAACGATCTCAATGTGCACACGCATGCAGAGGTGAATGCACATTAGGACCAAGTGATCTCAGAATCGTTTGAAGTCTAGAAAATATACATGTGAATGTCTTCCAACGACCCTTCATTTATTTGGTACATGTCTTTTTGTGCCCACCAATTGTTTGATGTAATGTTTGTCATGCATATCTCGACAAGTTGCACTGACATTACTTGACAAATTCTGTCGATATCACTTATTAGATTGTTTTGACATATCGAACTGTGTTGACATCTACGCAACATAGTTTAGCTGATGACAACAGACCCATTAGTGTTCCATGAAGTACCTCAGTAAATAAACTAAATTTTTTTACATGCTTCTCGCTTTGTTTCTGTCTAAAAATTTGAACTTTTAACATTGAAACTCCCCAAAATCCAAATCTTGAATGTGTCACTGCACGTATGTATGTGTAATTGAGATTTTAATAATGTTGCAATGAGATGGTCAGCACTCAGCCGCAAGCATATTTACCCAAGAAATTGTTGATAAATTTATCCAAAGTTGAGACCTGATCGTGATATACTATTTGATTTATGCATGCATGCTTCATTCTGGTGACGCCAGCTAAACCGCTGTAAGAAGTCTTGCCTAAATAATTTTCTGTAGACTATTATCCATAAACAAATTGAAGTCAACTTCGATGAAAAAGAGAAAAAGAAAGACATATTGGAGTCGAGTCATTAAGTTTATCCACAAGTACCTTGTTTCCCACACGCCATACAATTTAAATTTTCCAAAGTCTAACTTTGAAGAAGAAAGGAGGAGATTGACTGCTCTTACCACCAGCGTTACGCATAACATTTAACTGTCAGCTACTAATTATATAGATTTATGTATGAATTTACAAATCTCGCATCAACGAGAACTATTAGATGCGAGAATCGAACTTGAATTGCGGTTAACCACATGCACGCTCTTACCAACTGGACCAACCCTTGTAAGCAATTTGAACAATTCAGTTTGATTTGGTTCGATTCCGTTCAGTCCTCAAACTAGTAAACCAATTTATTTGATGAATGTTTTTATTTGGTTATTTGTCTTCATAAACAAATTGAGCAAATATTATGTGTCATATCATTCTCACAAATTTGGTTTAGAAAATTAGTAATTCATGAAACATTTTCTTAAAATTTAGGAAATTATTTTAATTTTATTTCTTCTTTATTATTTTTTTGGTATGGAGGATTGTTGTTGAAGTTGGAGTTAGGTATAGACCGTTCATCTGCTTTTGATTATCCTTTGCGCTTGCTCACCTAAAGCTTCATTTTCAAGACTTGTGAGCAATGGTAGATCGATGAAATATGGGGTTCAATAAGAATAGCGAGCAAAAAAAAATTTGGGCGGAATGGAAAGTAAATTAGGATTTTATCGAGTTTTGGTAGGCCTGAGATCATTTATCAATTCTTATTACACACATGTCAACATCTTTCGCGCAAGCATGTCTTCTAATGTTAATAGTTTTTGAGCAAGCTTGCCCACATATGCCAGTATATGCCAAGTGAGTATATCAACAGATGCCTATACCAACACATACAAAGGCATAAGATTAGCAACTATCATGCCTAGGAACCATAAAGGCAGTTCAAAAAGCAGTTAGATGACAGCTTTCAAGAGCATCTTAGATTTTTAAAGGCAGTACCCAGCTCTTGCACGAAGGATTTCTGAGTTTGTGGAGGTCAAGTGACCCCACCTTGTCTCGAAGTGAATTTGCCCCTACTTGTGAGGACCTCTTTCGTATGAAACTTCAGATTTATCTAATAGTGAATAAACTTTAGATTATTTCTATTTACCAAAATATTAGAAATAATTTAAACCCATAAGTTTATTCACCATTAGATAAATCTGAAGCTTCATGCGAAAGACGTCTTCAAAGGGCCTCAAATTAGGAGAGCAATCCTAGTACTTAGGTGAGCAGTCTTGGTACTTCACACGTTTTGTTGCTTCCTTTTCTTATAATTAAAGTGTTTTCCCAACATGAAGAAAAGAAATGATCAACCCTACATTAATAGTTAAGCCAAAAAAGTGAACTTTATTAATAAATATCAAAACGGAAAAGGATCCTCTCCCGATATTTTCACCAAATTTATCAATTCGGGTCTTGAAATTTGATCCAACGGCTAAAAATAGGAGTTTCCTTTAAAAGTTATGATAACTTTAGCCATTAGATCAAATTTTAAAGCGTCCGGATTGGTGGATTTGATGAAAGAGATCCATCTATTTCCTACTAAAATGCAGGCGAGTGATATTCCTTCTCTTAACTTTTGTATTATTCTTTATAAATAAATATAAAAAAATAACTTTTGTTTTGGCAAAAAATAAAATCTTTTATATAAATTAACTAAATTACGAAATGAGGATTTGAACTTGAGACAAAAGGTTGTACCATATTGCCAACTCTACTAAGCTGCAAA